TAACCTGGGAGTTAGGGACAATAATACTTGTCACTTAAGAATTTGTACTTACTCAAACTTCTTTTAAAAATAATATTTGTATAAGTAACACATACAAACTGGTTGCCACTGGAATGTCCATCAGGTCCCTCCCCTCAGATCCCAGGGAGTCCCTCAGAAGAGGGGAAGGAGGAATTGTGGGGGTCAGAAGGGTTGAAAACACCAGGAGACTATGGCCTGATGCATCGGTTAATCATGGCTCACAGAGTGGTAGGGGAGTCGACAGAGAGTGAAGAGACAACCACAGAACCTGCGTGGCTCTACTCTAGGGTCTCTGCATGTATGTTGTGGTTGTTGGCTTGGTGTTTTGGGGAAACTCCTGACAGTGGGAGTTCGGGTGTCTCTGATTCTTTTGCCTGCTCTTGGACCCTCTTCCTGGGTTGCCTCGCCCAGCCTTGATATGAGGATTTGTGTCTAGTCTTACTGTATTTTGTTTTGCTGTATTCAGTTGATAGGAGGCCTGCTCTTTCTGCAGGGAGATGGAGGATCAGTAGATCTGGAAGAGAGGGCAAGTGTGTATGTGTGTGTGTGTGTGTGTGTGTGTGTGTGTGTGTGTGTGTGTGTATGTGTATGTAGGGGGACTGAAAAGAGTGAACAGAGGGGAAGCTGTGGTCAGGATGTATTGTATGAGAGAATAAATAAAAATTTAAAAATATTTGAAGTTTTTCATTCTGTTAGAACATTGTACTTACAATAATTTTGTTGTATACAAATTGTATGTAAACTTGCTGTTCATATAAGAATTGCAAATTTTGAGAAAAAAATAGAACTAATTTGGGAATGTTAGATTCCCTCCTCTTTATCTCAAATATCTATCTCTTTCCTCTTTATAACAGTGGGTATAAGAACACTGGGTTCCTCCACAGAACTTAAATATATTGGGAACATGTAGTATTTAATAATTTTTAAAATATACATTTATATGTGTTTGCCTGCATGTATGTATGTACACTATGTGTGTATCTGGTATCCTCAGAGGCCAGAGAGAATGTCCAGTACCCTAGAACTGGACCTACAGATGTCTGTAAGCCATCACATAGGCGCTGAGAACTGAATCTGGGTCCTCTGCAAGAGAAAGAAAGTACTGTTCACTATGGAGCCATCTCTCCAGTCCCACACTATCTAATCTTGATCTCTCCTGCTCTTCTGATGAAGGGAAATGATAAAGAACCCTAACAGACATGTTTAGTTTACAGAGGTGAACATTTTTGTTAGTTGGATTATGTTTAGTATAGAAAATGAGATGTGAGAAAAAATAAATAACTTACCTTTTTTCTTTTCTTTTTTCCCATTTTTTTTAAAGCTAGTTACTTTGTAGAATACCGGGGCTATTGTGACTCCCCTGCCCCCAGCAGGATTCCATGAAACAGTTATTATTATCCCATCATCACACAGGGAACTAAAGGTTAAAACAAACAACAACTGAAAACTAAGTAACCTGCCCGTGATTTACGACTTGACAGGAAAAACCAGGCTGTTGACCCTTAGAGAGACAAGATTACACACTGTATTTCATGGTGGTTTTAGGCTGGTTCTACTGTGGAAAGTGAGAAAGCTGTGGAAGAAAGATTAGAAATTTGTGATTGAGGATGTGAAGATAAAGAGAATACAAACCAACCTACTTCCGGGGAAAATTCACATTTTTTCTCTTCAATTGGAGCTATGAAGTTTCAAAAAATGGTATACTCTCCAAAGCAGTAGTTCTCAACCTATGGGTCGAGACCCTTTTGGGGGTTGCATATCTGATATCCTATATATCAAATATTTACATCATGATTCACATCAGTAGCAAAATTATAGTTATGAAGTAGCAACAAAATAATTTTATGGTTGGGGGGTCACTACAACATGAGGAGCTGTATTAAAGGGCCACAGCATTAGGGAGGCTGAGAACGAGAACCCTGCATTGAAGTGTTGACAGGAGAATTCAATAGATAAACATACCTGTAGATGAGAGAAAAAAACAAACAAACAAGAAACAGCTGTCACTTCAGTGGGAGTAAGGGACAATTCTGTTGGAACCGATATGAGTGACCATGGCCCAGGAACACAGATTCAAGCTATCACAAATTCCAAGCTCCAACATGGCAGCAGTTAGCAGAACAATAATAACAAAAGGCACACATCAACATGCTTTTCAGACACATTGGTAGAAACCTCAGGTAAGTTATTTACAGTCAATCAGGGGGATCTCTGTAATAGATCTTGGATACTCTGTGGCAGCATTCTTTAAGTTGGTGGAAGAGGTTTTATTTGTTAGTCACAGGATGTTAGGTCAGACACAGAGAAGGCCAAGGAGTGTAGTGATAGGAGATAAACTGTAGCTAGGCTGTGGGCGTGCAACATTCCAATTTCTCCACAGACACTGAAGTTCTAATCAGTTAGCCTGGTAGAAGGCTGAAGGTTAGGTTAGATGTCTTAGTTAGAGTTTCTCGCGCTGTGATGAAATACCAACACCATGACCAAAAGCAAGATGGGGAGGAAATGGTTTATTGTCTTCACAGTTCCATAGAACAGTTTATTAACAAAAGCAGTGAGGGCGGGAACCTGGAAGCAGGGAACCTGGAAGCAGGGAACCTGGAAGCAGGGATCCTGGAAGCAGGAGCTGATGGAGGAGTGCTGCTCACTGGCTTGCTTAGCCTGTTTTCTTACAGAATTCAGGACTAGCAGCCCAGGGGTAGCCCCACAAGCACTGGGCCCTCCCCCATGAAGCATCAATTAACAAAATGCCCTACAGACTTGTGGACAGCCCAGTCTTAAGGAGACTTTTCCTTGACTGAGTCTCCTCTCTCTCTGATGATTCTATCTTGTGTCAAGTTGACCTAAATTATGCAGCACAAATGACCTCTTGTCAACTTGACACACAAACACATCACCATTAAGCCATAATCCTTCCCTTCTCACTCATCCTGAAGATCTCACATTGAAAACATAAATAACTTTAAAAATCCAGTCTTTACAAATTCAAACACACCAGAAGTGTAATCTCTTCAGCATAGCCAATTGCTCTAAAAATCCAAACTCTTTTTTAAAAAAAGTCCTAAGGAAAGTCCAGAGGAAAGAACCAGGGCACAGTCACAATGTGACCAAAGCAAAACCTCTAACAGTGTAAATTACTCAGTGTCCAATTATCTGGGCTTCACTCATTATCTTCTGGACTCCTCCAAAGGCCTTGGGTCCCTTCTCCAGCTTTGCCCTCTGTATCACACACAGCTTCTAGGTCGTGGCCGGCTCCACTCCACTGCTGCTGCTGTTCTTGGGGGTCATTCCATGGTAGGCATCTCTAAATTGCTGGGGTCTTCTGCTGCAACTGGGCTGCGCTTTCACCACAAATCTCTCCTGGGCTCTCTCCAGGGACCCCAGTCATGTCCCACAGTACCAAGCCTCAGCTTCTTTCCATGACCCCTTTCACAGCTTCAAAGCCAGTACCACCTGGGTGACACTTACACTGCCAGCACAAGGGACAGCCTTGGCCATGTCTGGAACACAACTTCTGTGTGCTGACTCCCAGGAAACACTTTCCAGAAGATACCACCTCAGTGATGCTGGTCCCTTCTTAATTAATCACTCCTAATCTCTCAGCTCCAGCTGACCTGCACTGAGTATTCCAGCAAAGCAAGGTTCCTCTTCAGTAGTTCTGGTATCTCCTTTATCACGGCTGATGCTTCAGCCCCAGAGCCCCAGAATCTTAATTCAAAATAACAAATGGCCCTGATAGAGTCTTTAAACTTCTCTGAGGCTTCACAAGCCAGGCTTCCATTGTCTGCCCTGCCCTCGACATTCTTATCTCCCAAGCTCCTACAGAACAGCCCACTGAGATCTCAACAGTCCATGGCTTTTCTATTCCAAAGTTACAAAGTCCTCCCACAATCTTCTCCAAGGGCAGCAGGTCTCTCCCATCAATACCCTACGACCCTGGTACCAGCTGTCTTAGGGTTTCTATTGTTGTGATGAAACACCATGACGAAAAGCAATGTGGGGAGGGAAGGACTTATTTTGCTCATATTTCCATAGGGCAGTTCGTCATCAAAAGCAGTGAGGGCGGGAACTGAAGCAGGGCAGGAACCTAGAGGCAGGAGCTGATACAGAAGCCATGGAGGGGTGCTGCTTTCTGGCTTGCTCCCCATGGCTTGCTCAGTCTGCCTTCCTACAGAACCCAGGACCACCAGCCCAGGGATGGCACTGACCCCAGTGGGCTTCCCCCATGAATCACTAATTAAGAAAATGCCCTACAGGCTTGCCTATAGCCAGATCTTATGGAGACATTTTCTTGATGAGGGTCCCTCCTCTCTGATGGCTATGTTATGTCAAGTTGACAAACTATCCAGGACTTCAGGCTTATTTACAGAGACCTGCCTTCTCAAGTCTAAATGGGGGAGAAACTCGTGAAAACAGGAAGGATGATGCCCTTCCGGCTATTACCCTGAGGCTCCGTATCGCGAAGGCTAGTCCTTATGGAAACACATTTTTCACCAACACTGGACTCTGTAACACATTCATCATCCACCAACTTCTGTTCCTTGAATGTGGTGTCCTCGGGCTCTCGGCTATCAGGATTCGAAAAACACGCCAGAATTCGAAAAATTCTCATTGGACTGGGCTTCCTAGTCCTGTCACAGGCTGTGAAAAGGTGCGTTTCATAAAACAAACATGACACCTGCGCTTGCGACTTTTTCCAGGAAGATACGCTAACCTACTTAGTAGTTGCTGTCCAGACATTTCTTTCGTTCTTTTTGTCTTCGCCTGCTTTCCGCCACAGGCAGTTACAAACCTGGTCAATAACCATCTAGGGAGGATCTGAGTTAATCTCTGGGGTCAGAGATCTTTCAGGCTGTTGAACCTTAGGGTAGAACAGGGGCCGGGCATGACCTAGTACCTGGCAGCGCCGCGGATTGGCGGAAGAGAAGGTTGTTCCTTCGAGGCTGCCGCTGATTGGCTGCAGGAGGGAAGGCTTGTGACGTACTTAAAAGTTGAGCAAACACCTCCCCCTCGCCCCCCCGCCCCCCAAGCCAATTTAAAAAAAAAATTTTCGGGGGTGGGGGGCAGGGAAATTAGAGACCTTAGGATCCAGACTCAGGATCTCTGGGCTGCGCGGGACTGTTCAGAACCCACAAGGTGAGAAGGGAGCCGGGAGGGCGACGCGGATGCAGGCGCGATCCGAGTCTGCAGGATGCACTCGGAGCTCCCAGCTCAACCGCGGGACTCCAGCTGTTGGCCGGTCCGGAGGTCCGCCTCGGTCCGGGAGCCGCAGCGCGACGCCTAGGGCCCACTGTGAATGAGCTAGGGAGGGGGGCACGCTTTAGGCCTCCCGCCCGGCCTTCCTGAAGGGAGGAAGGGCGGTGGGTTCAGCTCCTCGGCTTCTGCATAGGAAGGGGGAGGGGGCGATGCACTTTGCCGGGGATGGGCGCTGGTGGTTGTGGCGCCGTTGCTCGGGGAATATGGGTTGATGTTGGAATTACGGTTTGCAGAGTGGATAACTTACTTGTTCTTGGACTGAAAGTTTCTTTGCCGGCCGTGGCTGATGGGGGGAGCAAGATTCTCCCTGAATCCCCCGCCCCCACCCTAGGCTCAGCGGAACTGTGACACCGAACTTCCCACGCCTAGCTGCAGGTTTAGGGCTGGTCACTCTGAGCTAGAGACCTAGTTGAGTCAGTCTGTACTCTAATTGTCATAAGCATGAGAGAGAAAGTTGGGCAAGTTGGGTTTCTGGTCTCTAAAACTCTCGATACCCTGGGCAGCTGGGCAGGCCAGGCCAATGCTGAAGGAGATGGCTCTTTGGACACGCTTTGTTAAGGACTCTGCCTGGTAGAAGGGAGGCGGGGCAGAGGGGGAGGGGGAAGGGCAGGGGGAGGGAGAGAGAGAGAGAGAGAGAGAGAGAGAGAGAGAGAGAGAGGAGA